AATGTTTAATTAATTCAGTCCGGATTGGAGCAGGCTGTGGCCGCCCCCAGGTCTGCCTGACCTGCCCCGTCCCACCCGGTAGCGCGGGGGTCAAAGGAGGCTGCGGTCAGGCTGGGCTGAGCCGGCGGCAGAAGCAGAGCCAGGGATGACCTAGTGCCCACCTCCTTCCCCGTCTCCAGCCGAGCATCTCTTTTCTCCCCCCGCGCTTGGTCCTTTCGGAACACAGATCAACCCGAGACAGAACTGGAGGTAGGATAATGGGCCTTTTTGTTCCAGTCTTTCTGCTGCACTCTCAAACCCTGCTAACTGCAGGGATACGTGTCTCCTCGCGACGGAGCCCTGTTTCCCTCCTGGATTCTTCCTGCCCTCACTTTCCCTCTTCTCCTTCCTTCCCATTTCTTCCCTCTGCTCTGCTCTCCCCCACGTAATCTTCCTTTCTTTCGCTCCTCCTGCTTCCCTTCTTCCTTTCCCTTGCTCCTGTCCCCTCCTCTGTCCCCGCAGCACCCACCCCTGGCCAGGGGCGGTGAGGAGCCCCCGGCCCAGCTGTTCTCCCGCGACAGACGCCGGCGCAGCCGTTTGCACAGCACCGACGCTCCTGGCAAGCCTGTTTTCCATCCACCACTCGGGGAGCTTCGCCACACGGACAGGGGACACAGACCCTCACTCAGGTAAGGTCTGGGTTTTCTGAAACAAGCCCAGATCTTAAAAATTAACCTCGAGGAGAGGTGTTGGTCGTTTCATGGGTCTGTAATTACCAAGCTTACCAGTGCGTGGTATAAATAATGTTCTTTATTGGCAAGTTTCAACTATGTGCTCAGCCTATACAAGACACAACGATGCAGAAAGTTCTTGTCCCAGATAAAAGGTAAACATGGGGGAAACGGGAGCTAACGGTAAAGGAGGGAGAGAGAGTCGTATTTTTCAAGTATTACATTCCATTCTGTAGGTGTTACAAACAGGACTGAGGCTTAAAGAAGGATCCGAGTAAGACGGCAGTAACCTGGAGACAAGACGCCTGCAGCTCTCGTGTTCTCCTCATCCCCCCTGATTGTTAGCGCATCCCCTGGTCCAGGCCTGACCACCGAAACCAAGGATCCAACAGCGCGTTGCTGCGAGGCTGGCTCGCGCGCCCCTCAGAGCCAGCGCCTAGCTGGCTGTTGGAAGGGTTCTTCGGAGACCCTCTGCCTTCCGAACGCCAGGAACTACAGAATCCACAGAGTGCTTGGGAACGGCCTTTGCTGAGGTAGTTTGTTGGCCAGGCAAGCCTAAGCGCCAAAATGAATTAGCTGCGCGACAAAAACCCATCGTCCTCTTTCTCCAGGTCCCTGACTCCGCTGAGGAAGTTCCTACACGCTCGCCAGAGAACTCTCTGAAGTAGCCCCGCAAGGCTGATCTCGCCCTGGATCTTCAGAATCCCGAGGGAGGGCAAATGGAGGTGAAGAAGGGTCAAAACGGTTCTGAAAAGACACAACAGGTTCTGCCCACGGGGGCACGGTCCCCGGGGAAGCGTAATACCGCTGTTTCCGAGGCTACCCGAGCCGCTCGCAGAGAGAGGCCCCTCGGGAGAAGAGGGAATTTTGGTTTGACACTTGAAGGGGGCATTTTAAAAACACGTAGTCGACGTCAGTGCTTCAGAAGCGAAGAGGGCAGGGTGCAACCCAGTTGGGGGGTAAAAAAAAAAGGAAAGGTAAACATGTGCACTGCAAATTCCCAACTGTTTTCCACTGTATCCGCACGGGGAGGAAATCTGAGAGTTTACTCCCTGCGGTTGGGGCTGCCACGGTTCGGTGGGGCTAAGAGGGAGGTTGCACTCCGGGTCTCTCCCGAATGCCGACCGTGCCGTTTTTCAGGGCTGTCTCTCCAACAGTACAGGGAAGACGACAGTTTGGAGCCGAGGAGGTCAGAATTAGGGTTCACATTTCTAGACAGCGGGAATACAGATCTGCTTTCTCAAGCCCGGTCAGCTAGGAAGGCTAAAATACAATATTGTTCTTTCTGCCAACAACAAACCCAACAGATCTGCCCGTAAAATTATCACCTCTTCAATTTCTAGGTTAGCAGCTTTTAACCCACAACCCCACCGACAGAAACTTGCTAGCAACAACGTCCCCGTTCGGCTCGTGCAAACTGTTAGTTCATCCTACCAGCACAGTAGCTCCGGGCTGCTGACGTCCTCAAAGAATCATCCGTGCTACTCGCCCTACCTGCCAGCCGTCCCTAGAACCATCGCCTGGACCCCGTTTTGTGCAGCGCTAAACCCACTGCTGGCTCTAAACAAAGATAACGAGAAGACTAATGGGAATAGGAATTCTTCCAGCCAGGTCGCATGCTGGCATTCCCGCTCCGACCACAGCACGCCTTTCCAGCTGTTTGAAGAACAAGGAGAAGGGAAAAAAGGACGTATGTGCTGCTCACTGTTTCTGAGCAGAGAAGCAGGGTGATTTCTTCCAGCCCGTGGCACTGGGCTGAGAGCCAGGACCGTCTCTGGTCTGAGGTTCCCCTCTGGTCTCATCTTCTCCTTTCTAACGGAGATTTAAAAGCCACTTATTTCCCACCAATGACAAGCAATGTCTTAAGAATTCATTAATATCTTAATGGTGGTTTGGAAGTACAAAATGCCAGTCATTATGACAGCTTCCCAAAGAGCAGAAATTTTGGTAAAAACGCACTCTATCTCAAATAATACATGAGACAAAAACCCCCAAGACAATCCAAACCCAGAAGATGAGCTTGAGCTTTAGGCTGTCAAAGAGTTTAAATTTCTCACTTGACTGGAACCTCTCAGAGCAGATAGAAAAAAACCCCATTTTCCTCTGTATTTAGCAAATGCCAATTCCCCTTCCACCCTATTTTTGCTAATTGGGCAGAGATAACCCCAATTTACTTGTGTCTGTGTAGCAGCATCATTGCCAGTGTCAGTGCAGCCCTGGGAATGCTCCTTGCCTATTGACTGACACTGCTGCAGAGCCAGGAGGGAAAGCATCCCAACAGGATCAGCGTGCAACAGAGAGAACTACCTGCAGCATCAAAAAGTCTAAGTTAAGATCATTTCTCTGCCGGGTAATGATTAACTAAAAGTGTCCTTTTATACCCCGGAACACAAATGCTGTAACAAAAGGGACGTGAAAGTCTGTGCTTATCTACTGGGATCCTGGAGACAAGCAGCTGCCTCGGAAAAGCAAGAATAGCTGTTGTAGCATCTCCTGGCTGGTTAACCGCGCTGAAATTTAAATACAGCTACCAGGGAATTTCACTTCCATCCCCTCCTGAATTGGCAAAGAAAACAGAAGGACTATCAAGTCTTCAGGCTTAGCGTGCTACCCCCAAATAGTGCAGTGCTGCCAAGAGAGCTCGGAAGGCAACCCCAGAAATAAGAACGTGAGAACCACAAAGACCCAGCGCACCTATCCCTAGAGACTGTCTCTTACCAGAAGCGTACTCGATGCTTCAGGAGAGGCTGTTGAGAATGACCCAGGTGGCCAACGAGAGAACAACCTGGCCAAAAAGGCAGTCTCTCCCGAGTATCTGGCCTTCAGCTGCCGGCTCATATTCTAAAGAAAGAAGGCTCGTGTTCAGTTTGGTTTTTCTCCTCGTTCCTTGAAAATACACAGCCCTTGGTTTAAATGCTATGGGTTGCTGGCCCAGTGCCGCCCTATGGTAATGACCCCCGCTGGTCACCGGGTTGACGCAAGGCCATTTTTAGTTTGATCAGTTTTGACGTCGTCTGCCCGGCTGTCTCCCTGCCACTTGTGCTAACTCCTCCTTCCAGCTTTGCAAGTTCCAGAACAGAACTCAAACACCAAAAGACAGAGTCGAGGTTATCACAAGGTTCAGCCGAGAAGTGCACGTAAGAGTCACTTTCCCAACCACAGACAAATGTGAGAACTCGGGATATCAGTTCTGAGCTCAGAGCTGAAAATAGTGCACACTCCTACAGAAGGAATAAAAGTCCTTAAAGGGCAGAAGGGCAACCTGTAAGGAGAGGGATGAAAACTGCTCCAAGAATCCTGCAGAAGCATACTTGGCTGTGGCAGCTCTCAGGCTAAGCAGTGTCTGGAGTATCCATTGCTTCTTGCTCAGAAATGCACCCCTGAAATCCAAAGCTTTTCTATCTTCCACTAGAAACAGCTGAGCAGGTCTGGCTCGTCACCCAACGCCTGCTCTCAATGGCACCACACCGGGGACTCTGCCTCACGTTGCATGTAGTGGCTCAACCCTGCTCCCACTGGAAGTGAAAGGAGTTTTCCCAGTACTTCCAATGGAAACGGGGTTTGCCCAAACGCCTGTATGCAGCAGTGAAACCAGGCAGCTCTGGGACGCAATCCTAAGTGACCAGAGTCAGCATTCTAAACTGAGACGGGCCCTGCAGGAATAGGAAGCACAGGGCAAGCTTTGCTGTCTAGACTGAAAAGCCTCTACCTGGGAGATGAACTTCCTTAACGAGAGGATAGAACAGGATGCGACTTCAGGGTGGTGAGGCACTGGGACAGGTTGCCCAGAGAAGCTGTGGATGCCCCATCCCTGGAAGTGTTCAAGGCCAGGCTGGATGTGGCTTTGAGCAACCTGGTCTAGTGGAAGGTGTCCCTGCCCATGGCAGGGGGGTTGGAACTAGATGATCTTTAAGGTCCCTTCCAAGCCCAACCATTCTGTGATTCTCTGATTCAGTCCAAGCAGCTCGCTGTCCTTCGTTCTCAAGCGCTAATCAGTCCATATCACAAAACTACAGAAGCCTCAAACAAGCACGCTGCCAACTGCTTTTTCCTGGGTTACAAAGATGTGAAAGAACAGGGGAGCTACGGCAACAGCAGAGACAAGCCCAGCCGATTCTCCAGGTGGGACGAGATCCAGCACTGTAGGATTTGGATTCTCCTCAGAGTTAAGCCAGTAGCATGTATGGTATAATCTATGGAAACTGTCCCATTGGATTTTAAAACACAAACACAGCAGAATGTCATCATAAGTAAGCAAAGTCTGTGTTAAAAAATTCTAAGTACACAGCATTTTCTCCAGTTCTGACACCTTTTTAATAGAAATCACTTGTTTAGGAAACAAATAGCACTTTTGTAATTTTTTTTTTTTTACAATGTTTCTTACCTTCATCTTATTTTAAGTAACACTAGGAAGACCTCAATATCTTTTATTTTCCTTTTTAATTTAAAAAAGTTGTTTGTTTGTTTGTTTGTTTTTCCCCCAGATACAAAGATTTTGCCCTTGCATAAAAAAACAGTGCCCAAAACGATGACACAAGGACTCACAAAGACTCACTGTATCTCACTGACACTATTACTTCTAATCTATACCATGCAAGGTCCCATCTACCTCTTTAATTAGACTGTCAGCCTGAAAAACAGCTTTTCTATTCCTTATTTAGTTCTTGTTACCAAAAGAAGAGAAAGGAAGTGAAAGAAAAGGACGTTTCTCTGTTCAGTTCACACATCTGGGTCATGTGCTACTTTGTTCAGGATACCTTTGTTGTTTATAAATATAGAAAAGGGTTGGAATCTCATTTTCAAGTAATCGATGCACATTTTCTCTCGGGACACCTCCGCCCAATGCTCCAAGCTGACCCTGGGTTCTGGCCCTCTAGTTTCCCATTCCCAACAGAGGCTTTCTGGATGAGTGTGAGGACCCAAACCAATGCCGCAAAGCGTGTGTGTTGTTTAATGTGAAGAAACAGGATTAACCCAAAGCTGTTGGGACAGTAGATCCTCGGCCTGTACATGTGCTGGTTACTCAGTGAAAAGTCCATCTCCTTTCCTTTTGTACATCTCCTGTCTAAACAATAGTAAATACTGCTTATGTGATAGACTTGTCCCTTCTGGGCACTGGGATTTGATAATTTATATTTCTGGTTTTTATTTTTGGTTTAATAGTACTGAGAGTTTAGAAACAGGAAAAGCCCACAGGCTCTTTGGACTTGTTTTTGTTTTCCCCTAGCTAAACAAACTGTTCTGCAAATAAGGATTTGAAACCTGCTCTCCTCCCTCATCCCTGCTCCTCACCCCAAACAAAAATAAAACAAACCTATAGTGGCTGTGGAGGCTGCTGCAGGCACACACTGGTGTAAAATATAGAGAGAGTAAATATATTATTTCACTTGGCATGGTGCTGGCAAAGAACCCCCAGCTGGCACTATTCATGTAACAGGATCCAAACTTTGCATGTACACACAGAATAAGAAGGATCAATTGGCAAACTCCGGTGCCGCCTGGCACAAGCATCTTCACGCTCTCTCTGGAACCAAAGAACTAAAGAATTCTGCACTTTCCAGAAGAAATCCGGTTTTGCTTTTCTAGAGTTTATTTATTTTGCTCTTCCTCCTCGCTGCCACCTCCCTTGGCTCCTTCTGAACTTGACTGTGTTATTTAGTCTCATCGCCCTTGTTACAGTTCACCATGCAGCTCTGGGAAGGGGAGGGGGCTAAGGTGGAGGTGGCAGCATTAGTATTGTTAGTGGAGTCCATGCCGTTGGAGATGGCTACAGAATTGACCTCAGAGTTTATGGGTTTTGAAAGGTCGATGCCTTGGATGAGGCGGATCAGCTGTTTTACCTTCTCCAAGGAGCTGTGCATCTCCTTCTGTTTTGCAAGGATGGTATTCTTCATTTCCATGCATTTCTGCAGCAAAACAGAAAAGTGGTACTAAGTTCAAGCTGATGGACCAAAGAAGGTGAGAGAAGGGATATGATGGTCACAGGTCTAAATGCAAGTATACAGAAAGGGCTGTACAGCTACAATTTCCCTTTCCCAGCCTAGAATAAAAAGAGTCTCTGTGTTCACAGGAGAATTCGCATTTGCAGGCTGGGGAATCAAATTGCCAGTACGTGGCTGTCGCCCAGCATGGCCCCTTTCATCCCAAGGTGTTTTGCAAATCCACACAGACGGCTCCATCCTTTTGTGTTCCTTTTGAAGGGAAACTTCCAAGTGTATGTCCTTATTATTTTTCTATGAGTATTGCGTTGCTGAAACTTCAGCTCAGATCTGCAAACTCAGGCGTCCTACTGCAGCTGACTGCTGACAGCGTGCGTGTGCGCGCCGCTAATGGGATACAGCCTTTGCTTTCACATACGTTTTAGCAGGAACATCACTTCCTCCTCTCAATAAAGAAAGGGGCACTTGAAAAGAGCCCTTCTTCACTTGAAAACCTTATTTTGTGGCCACTTCCTCCTCGCCGAAGCGGTAGTAACCTCGCTAGCTCATCAGTTAAGAGGCAGGCTAAGACAGCTTTCAAAAATGCCCACAAAGGATGTTTCGAGGCTGAAAAACCGCTTAGATCTACATTTGAAACCCTCTAAAACGAGGAGATGGCAGCTATGTCTGTAACATTCAGGTCCTTACATGAAGATGGCAATCTTCCTGCATGTTTTAAACCTTTTATCCATGTTGATCTCCAGACACTGTTGGTTTCAGCTTTACCATTTCCACATGCAGCTCATGGTATCATAAAAATGCCACAAAATTTAAACCTAATGGGTCTTTTTTGAACAGTCCCAACGAACGTATAAACAAGGACTTAGTCACAGGAAATAAACCATCCTCCTTACCTACTGTCAATCCCTCATGTTAAGGGCCTGCATCTGCCTGGGCACACTGCTGAGAAACAGTGTTAGTGCCCTAGTGCTGCTCAGGTTATGCCCAGATACCGCTAACCAGAAGCTGACAGCCTCCAGAACTGCTAACCAGCAACCCTCACCATTTGTTTCCTCACCATCATTTTATTTCTATCGTCAGCATTTAGGGGTCTTCAAACATGGGACGCTTATAATAAAGAAGAGCCAGACCGGAAAGGGCATCTGTATTTAAAGAGAGAAGCCTGTACTTACGTATCCAGCCTTACAGATGCTGCCACATGAGAGATTTCAGTATTTTTCCTTCTGTCATACTGACTCGGGCTACGCTAAGTGAGGGGCTGGAACATTACACTGGCAACTCACGAGCCCGATTTGCGCGGTACGGTGAGAAGAGAGAGCCAATTAATACGGATGTTCCAATGATTGCGACAAATTAAGGTGGAAACTGCAGCTTCTGGTTAGAAGCATGACATCGTGTAACTAACAGAACGCAGAGGCACGCGCAGCGTCCGGCTGCTGACTGTCGAGGCAACGTGTCACGAGAGCCAGTCATGAGTAAAGGGTCACCTCCCTATCAGGAAGGTCTGGAAAGCACACCGAGACCGTAACTCCGATTACACACAGAGGGCCAACAATTCCTATTTAAGTGAGCCACTGGAGAATTTGACTTAATCTACTGCCCACAGACAGTAATGCTCCGGGTCACGTTTGTCACCCGCCGGTATTGTAAGTTGCCACGCGTCTGCAATATATGGTCAGCATGGATCGCCTGTAAGTGACTCAACCTAAGCATTTCCTGCTCCCCAAAATCCTAAAAAGCAGAAGAAAAGCGCTCACTCAGTTCTCAGTAAATCCAGTGGAAGACAGGTCTAGTACACAGAGTCACTCTGGAGTTTTCTCTTTGCATTCTGGCACCAGGACACGAGGGCAGAGCTATTTGGGAGGGCACTACTCACCGTTATAGAATTGCTGAGCTGTTTGACCTTCTGCTCTAGTTGTTCTCTTTCCTGTTTTAAATCTGAACTCCATTTAAGTAGTTTCTGTTTTTCCTCTTCTTTTGCTACAAAACAGAGTATTAATCAGCATATTTAAAATGTTCCTGTTACAACAGCAGACAGAAGCTCTAAACGGGTTGATGTGAAGAGGGTAATTGTGTCTGAAGTCAACTCAACGACTTGTGCACTACACCACACTCAAAATTTCACACACACATTACAGAAGGCTTAACAAATACTGCTATTTTCACTTCACTAGTGATTGAGGTTCCTCCCCTTTAATTTCCTTTTGTAAAGGAAGTACTCAAAATAACATCTTCCATCATTAAAAGTGAAACGGAAGTGTTGTTCCCCATTTTCCTACCTGCTTTATATGCGATATATGAATGAACAATTGCTAAAGTTCCTGGCCATGGGATTGCTTCTTCCTTCTTTAGCATCTGAAAGAAAAGCGTTGAGAGATTTAGCTGGTAGACAACCTACCCCTAGGACAGCAAAACGGACTGAGAGGAAGAAGGGAAAGACTGGGGATTTTCTTGCATGGCTATTATTTAGTCTCAGCCCTGTTGACATGAAGCTTCGCAGACCCGTTCTGAGATTCAACAGAGGGAATTATTCACAACTGCATTGTGGCTCCCACAAAGCAGGCCTGTTTCTTACAAGTGTCAGCATTTTCTCAAATTCCCTCCATAGCTACAAATAAACTCTGCTAATGAAACTGAGCAACTTAAAAGAGGAACGAAAGGATAATATATCTGTACTCAAACTTGCCAGGAGACATAAACATTATTTCACGGTTCAGACAAATTGCTGATCCTAGTTTTCTGGGAGAAAACTTTTCACGGCACAGAGCAGTCTCCACATCACCTATTAAAATGTCATGCTTCCTGGCTAGTAACACACAAAACTGTCATACCTGCCCTTCCTATCAGAATCACCTTAATAGAGTTGTCAAACCCTCTTCATGAGGGTAAGCACCATTTATGTCTTTCAGATCTTTCCTACACATTCCTTCCTAACAATTCTGAGTGGAAAGACAAGTATTGTGCCTTTTTAGTAAGTGAATCAGGGGTGTGCCTCAGAAGATAGAGGACTCGGTCACTTTCCAGTGAAATAACTCAGATTTTCCTCCCCCCCCTAATTTTGTGGGAAACTATCACAGCGATTATGAAGAGGAGGGATAAGGTGAGAGAAGGCAAGAGCAGGAGCAGGGAATTGGTAACACCCCACCCTTACTCGCAACTACTGACCAAGCCATTTGAGTTTTGCATTTTCATTTTTTTGAACAGCATATTCTGAACAGGCTGTTTTCTCACGTCACCATCTGGCTAACCAAAGGTCACGTGGGCAACCGAGCAATATGCTAAATCAGACAGAATGCTGACAGCTTCAGGCTGCTGATTATCAGCAATACATTCCAACTTCTGGAGTCCCATGTAAGGGTTAGGAATACAGTAGTTTACTCCTCTGTCTTGTAATCTCAATGCCATTATAAACAAAATATTAACATATCGTCTGTTCACTTCAGTTGTGTATTTTGAGAAACAGGTCTGGAAGGAAGAAGAACCAAACTGTTTGCCTATCCTCATTATACTGATGCTGGATGATATTATTAAAGAGATCACAGAGGACAACCTCTCTGATATTTGATTGTATGAGTAAACAGGCACTTACATTTGCTCTATCGATTGAGGTCAGCTTGTGCAAATGTTTTAATTACTTGTGCAGAATAATATACTGATAACTTTTGAAGAAACAATGAGTTTAAGATGTACAGGGAAATTTCTATGGGTCATAAGCAACCTTTCGCAAAAGTCTGAGTGTCTTGGCCCAGAAAAAAAGAGTAAAAACAAGGGTAACAAATAAGGACCCCAAATGCGGCAGCAAGACTCAACGGTTTTGTATTTGCACACATCCCAACAGGGGTAATTCCATCGAATTCACACAAGCCTCATTACAGATCAAATAGATTTGTTCAGTGTCAGCCTGTCTTGATCTAAGTAAGCCAAGAGCTATGGTTATTTTCTTCAGCGCGGAAAATTCTTTATGGTGCACTGTGTATAACTCTCCCCGTCTGTCAAACAATACCTGGTCTTGACATTTGGGACAGATCCACATGCCCTTGGGAATGGTTTTCAGAGGTGGGTCCAGACAGTCCAGGTGATAAACACGTGAACAGGTGTCACACATCAGCAACTGCCCGCTTTTCCTGCAAACGCTGCAAAAGTCCTCGTGGATATCACCCTATAAAATGAGAGAGAGAGAAGGCAAAAAGTGAACTTTGACCTTTGACATCCTAGTCGAATGCAAAGTTTACACCACAAACTATGTCTAAGGGGATTCCAAATGGTCAAACCCTTTTTAGGACATGAAACAGGAAAACCAGGCAGGATGTCAGAAACACTGACGTTTGTCCTCCCAAGGCAAGATGTCACAGCAAACACTACCATAGCTTCTCCTAACAACTGCTACCCCACAGTCTGTCTTCTTTAAGGTTCCCACTCTACCCTGCTTTTTTTTTTTGCCTAAAGTGATGAGCTGCCCACTTTCTTAACCCTTCTCATTTCTGGATGTAAGCACAACTCCACTTCGGGAATGCTGATGAGGCTATCTCTTGCCGGTATGTAAGAAACCCCAATTGAGTGACTTAAACAAACACTGTCAAATATTTAGGTCACCTTTAAAAATGAAACTGGAAGGAAAAGGTGGTGTGCTTGTAAACGAAAAAGAACAGAATGAATTATGTTCTGAGACAATTCTTTTTACTTCACTTAGGTTACTTCAAATTATACCAAAAAAGCTGTGACTCATAATTTTCTCTACAGGGAGGGGTTTATGTTTCATTACTAACATAGGCTGAGAGCCAGGATGAGGGAATACCAACAGAGATTTTCTAAGTTTTTTTTTAAAGAAAGAATTGATTACTGGCAGTGTCTCTTAAAAAAACCTAGGTTTAATTACTATTGCATCACCATCAGAGAGGATTTTTTTCTACAGCCATTAACTTCCCAGAAAGGTAGGTCTGATTTTTGACAGTTTTTCTTCTCTATTCTCCTGTTACTCCCATCTCATGCTCAGGGGGGGTGTGTGTGTGCGTGGTATTTCTGTTTGGTTTTCTTTGGGGTTCGGATATTTGAACAAAGAGGCACGAAAGAAAGATGGCTCAGCAGCCACAGAGGAGGAGAGGGGCACGGCAGCCCTCTCCTCTCGCAGTGACATACTCAAGGCCCCACCTGGAGTCCGAAATACGCCCTTCTCACTGACTCTGGCTGGAGTTTCACACACGCCAGATCTGCAAGATGCGTGTGCCCAGTCAAACTGCACGCATACGCTCCCCACGTACGAAATATCAACACGTGCCATGCTTCATTTTGACCTGCGCAGCCTTTTCACGTCCGTAAGTTCTATCAATTTGGAGGGATAGCAGACTTGGCCCTGCACTGACACATTAAGTTGCCAGGTAAGAAAAATGACACTAATCTCTACTGTGGAGATAATATTAAACAGAAGAATGACACACAAGCAATCTGCTCAGGTTTCTACTTCCTGGCTCTATTGCTGATGAGGCCTTTCTTCAAAGGAAAGGCTATTCTTAATTCCCAAGGTTAGCAGTGATGTCATGTTTTGTAAAGGATCAATCTCCAGCGAATTTTCAGTGCGATGTTTTGGTCCCATAACTCCCAGGGATGACTGAGACCTGGGTTATGGTATTATTTCATCCATTAGCAAAAAAGAGCTCCTTGGTGTTAAATGAAAAATTAAAATGAGTGGCATTTCATGCCTCTTGTGAAGTGATCTGTGTAACCAGGCTGGGAAGAACTTCTTTCCCTGTGTCATGCATTCTGTGAGTACAAGGAAAAGAAGACAGGCAGGAGATGTCATATAAGCTAAACCAAAGTCTTCCGCAAGCTAAGGAAAAATTTACGAGGAAAATTCTCACTTTTTAGAAAAAAAAAATCTCATTCTAGTGAATTAGACAGGTCAAGACACTTTGGTTGCCATGGGCTATGCAACGGCACTTGGTAACCGGCCCGTGTGCAAAATTAGGGGTGTGTTGAAAACCCAACCTCTTCTAATGCCCTCCAGGAAGAGACCTTCGCGAGAGACACAGGCAAGTTGCTTCTGGAGCAGGAGACGTTTAGAAATTTAGAGCCAGAACCTTCTAAATCAAACGGAACGGTGAAAAACCTGGAGTGACACAGCTGGTCAGTGTGCCTGAACGCACTGAGATTACAACGCACTGAGATTCACAAAATCCACAGTCCAATTTCTGGTAATGAAAAACTCAGGGAATTAATAACCAGCCTTACCAAAACCCCAGCCACTGATTCCAAAGAAATGCCCCAGGTTTATGGGGAGCTAATAAACATATGCATAAAGGGGGGCTGGATTTGATGGTGTGACATGCACCCCACTAATCACAGAATCATCACAGAACGGTTTGGATTGGAAGGGCCCTTAAAGCCCATCTAGTTCCAACCCCCCTGCCACAGTCAGGAACACCTGGACAACTAGACCAGGTTGCTCAAGGCCTCATCCAGCCTGGCCTCGATGTCAGCTCCTGGACCAGCTCTGGGAAGGCTACAGGCAGCCAACTGAGACTAGAGCAGAGCTCGCTGAGGCTGCTCTAACACATGCTACAGGCTGAAGAGAGTGAAGAATAATTTCAGAACAGAAACCATAAAAGGTGATTTAATGTCACTTTTTGCTCTACTTCCTCTGCACCAAGAGGCCAGGAAAATAAATGAAAGCTTTCTGGACAGCTAACAGTTTTCTTTATTTTTATAAAGTGTCTGGGGCAGTGGGGCATGGCTTTAGGCAACAGAACTGAGTAATACCGTGTCAAAACAGAAGTGTATGCAGTTTCTGTGTTTGAATATGTAGTATCTAGACTTATATGTACATTTCACTGGAATAACATGGGAAAACTAAATGTTC